CCGAAAGATGCTGGCTGGTCATGGGATCCAGAGGTGGAGGGAAGGAAACCAGTATAGGAGACACAGGAGGTGGGAAAAATGGGATCATGAATCCTTCCAATAAAACTTGAAGAAAGTTTGCAAGCCGAGCTCCCATTGGACCAGATAATGGGTAGTCACCGACAATGCTGGCAACGTGACATGCGTCATAGAAGAAAATAACGAGATGAGGCACCCCAAGAAGAAGGAAAAGGTAAGGATTTGGAAGGTAAGGGACAGAAAATGGTAAAAGGTGCAATATTGGGCTCCAATTGATACAAACAGGCAACAAGGTTGGAAAGGGTAGACTGTTGTTGTACTGATGCAACTCGTGATTCCACAGACTCAGGAATCATGTCAGAGACGTATCACTGTAGAAATGGGGCCATATATAAATGCAGAAGATAAAATGATGATAAACAGAATCAAGTTAAGGTCGCATCATGACATAGTAGGTCCCAACAACCATGTATCTAAAGCCAGAGCCAAAGATGACAAATAAGCAAATATAGAGGAAAGAAGGGAAAGGATGTCCCCAGAAAACCCCTCAAGATTTCGGTGGAGAGCCTCAGAGAGAAGATGGACTGTAGAAAGATACTGTAAAAGAAGACAAAGGCTGTCAGACTTACAGGATAATCAGAGGCCGCACCTCAAACAGGGAAAATGGAACCTAACAATTGCTGGTCCAGAAAAGAACAGTCTGCACAATGATATGCAAGAGCAAAATGATCCGAAGCCCATGAAGGGCACTGCATGCTAATCCTGTCCTTTATTGTGAGACAAATTGGACAGCATGTACCCAAATATCCAGGGAGGGGGAAAAACCAAATAGGAATGGGAAGATTGGTCACATAGTATGGGAGGACACAGTACATAGGAAATACAGGAAAGGAATAAAATGTCACATACCTGAGAAATAAAATCCAAAAAGACTGTATTAGGCCAAATTGACTCCTCGGGCGGGGCATGAGACGTCAAGGCAAAATCAGGAGGTGGAAATAGGCAATTCAAGTCCTCATCTGAAGCTTGTTTGGGAGGAAGAAGGGTGAGGTCTCGAGACAGAGTTTGACACATGTAGCATTCAATCTCCCAGCAAATAAATGCAGATAAAAAACCCTGTCTGGTTGCATGCACTGGAGGCCTGAGACACAGTGCTAGTGGCAGATGTGACCCCAGAAGTAGTAACATGAACTTCAGAATTCATAATGAGAAAGAGTCAACCAATAATTGAAAGTATAAATAACAATATAACTGTAATAAACTGGGATTCAAGTGAAATGAAGAAACAGTCTTAACAGAAACAAGAAGTGAAAATAAATGAAGACCACTTCGTGAGTATACTAAAGATGAACATGAAGCAAACAAATAGAACACATCCAAGCACAAGTGCTGCCAAGCAAGGATTGGTAGTTCAGTAAAGGTGTATAGGTGTATATGTCATGCTCTCATTGGTGGAGAAGTGACGCATGATGATTTACATGAGAGATATGTTGGAATTATTTGATTTCAATCGGGAGAGCAGAAGGTTTGTGGCATGTACAAAGTAAAATTTGCATATAGAGGGCAGCACTGGACGAGAATTGCTAATCTTATGACTGGAAGGAAGTACCGCATTGTAAAAACTAAAGCCTATTGTCGTGTTAAATAGTATACAGTCCAGTGATGTTAAATAGCCTACAGTCCATTATAGTGTTAAATAGACTACAGTCCATTGTATTGTTAAATACCCTACAGTCCATTGTAGTGTTAAATAGCCTACAATGTGTGAAAGTTCTGATGCAAGTATAGTCTTACTACAGGCTGTACATTACAGTACTTGGGGGGCAAGTAAAGCAGTTTAGAATTAAAACATTGAACATGATTGCCAAGATCGCTGTTCTGTTGAAAAATTTTAATGGGCATTGACTGTTTGTTTCCTTAAGATATTATGTAATATTAGCATGGTTTGGGCTATTTTTTTTCCAAAATTTAACGAAACCCATGGAAAATAAGTCTTAAAAATTTAGTTTAATAAAGATGCAAAATTGGCAACTAAACAATAATTGTTTTTTATGGAAATCAATAAAATATAAAAACATCAGAATTCTTCTAATTGGGACTTTTTTAGGGTCTTTATAGATCAATATTGTCATAATTGGATTTTTTTAAGGCCTACATATATTTTTCTGGACAACCTCTGATACAGGTCAGGTTGTCTGAAAAGCAATAAGGAAAGTTCCTTAAAATCAAGCCCTGTCTACTAACAGAAAGATACAGAATTCAAACAGTACCTTTACTTACAGAAAGATATAGAATTCAAACAGTACCTTTACTTACAGAAAGATACAGAATTCAAACAGTACTTTTACTTACAGAAAGATAAACAATTCAAACAATACCTCTACTTATAGCATGATATACAATCCAAACAATACCTCTACTTATAGCATGATATACAATCCAAACAATACCTCTACTTGAAGAAAGATAAACAATTCAAATAATACCTCTACTTACAGAAGGATAGACAATTCAAACAATATCTCTACTTACAGAATATTGTTTGAATTGTCTATCCTTCTGTAAGTAGAGATATTGTTTGAATTGTCTATCCTTCTGTAAGTAGAGGTATTGATTGAATTGTCTATCCTTCTGTAAGTAGAGATATTGTTTGAATTGTCTATCCTTCTGTAAGTAGAGGTATTGATTGAATTGTCTATACTTCTGTAAGTAGAGGTATTATTTGAATTGTTTATCTTTCTGCAAGTAGAGATATTGTTTGGATTGTATATCTTTTTGTAAGTAGAGGTATTGTTTGAATTGTCTATCCTTCTGTAAGTAGCGGTATTGTTTGAATTGTCTATCCTTCTGTAAGTAGAGGTATTGATTGAATTGCCTATCCTTCTGTAAGTAGAGATATTGTTTGAATTGTCTATCCCCGCTACTTACAGAAGGATAGACAATTCAAACAATACCGCTACTTACAGAAGGATAGACAATTCAAACAATACCGCTACTTACAGAAGGATAGACAATTCAAACAATACCTCTACTTACAAAAAGATATACAATCCAAACAATATCTCTACTTGCAGAAAGATAAATGATTCAAACAATATCTCTACTTACTAAAAGATAAACAATTCAAATAATACCTCTACTTACAGAAAGATATACAATCCAAACAATATCTCTACTTGCAGAAAGATAAACAATTCAAACAATACCTCTGCTTATAGCATGATATACAATCCAAACAATACCTATACTTGAAGAAAGATAAACAATTCAAATAATACCTCTACTTACAGAAGGATAGACAATTCAAATAATACCTCTACTTACAGAAGGATAGACAATTCAAATAATGCCTCTACTTACACAAGTGTTACGTCTCCGTCTGTTAATTGATTTCCCGTAAATTCGTTCCAATGAAACTTTAGTGACACAAGTCCTTTTTTAAATAAAACTGGTTTATTCTTTCTGAATATAACTTTACGATACACTTAATTTCAACAATCGTGCTAAAACAAATGCTATAACAATGAACGTTAACTTCAACAATACTCTCTGACTGCAGATCGATTACTCACTACCTACACATTCTGTCTCGTCACGTTGTGACCATCTTATATATACCAGGCTACCC